TAAATTTGCAACTGACTTGTTTTATCCACTTGAATAAGACGTTTCAAACTCGTTAACTCTTGTTGTAGTTTGGGTTCGTCCACAAGATTTTTAATATTTCGTCTGAGGTATCTTTTCACGTCATTTATTCTATTTTCAACATGGTCCTTATCTATTTGAATTGCGTTTATTTGATCCAGTAAATATTTCTTGTTCACGGCATCGTTATCGTTTCCTGGAAACTTTAAATTAGTTATTTTGAAATTGTTCATATCGATATCCCCTTGTAAGGTGTCTCCGATTTGATCCACGAAAAAAGGTTTCGCTTTGTTTATAAACGTCGTCATGGGATTTTTAGATTCTAGAGGTAAAGACCCTAATCCAAACTTGTTTGCCATTTTTATTGAGTTAAATTTATTATAATTTCTTCAAACTTTTCTCCCAAACTCAACCGATATAAAACCCAAAGCGACAGCTGTCCACACAGCTTTTTTCCTGGCATTTGAATTTGAAACGTAGAACATTTGATTGGCTTGCTAGTCAATTTCGTTATCTCTTCTGTCGGTTCTAGACCGAAAGAATCAAAGAAATAAAAGTTATTCGAAGAATCTTTGTGTAAAGCAGAGTGATGAACTCCTTTTTGATCCGACGTATGAATGTTTGTGATGGCGTAAAATTTACCTTTCTTGTATTTCAGTTCATCAATTTCATCTCGCATGCAATAATAAAACGGCGAGACGTTCAATTCCTTGGCCCATTTCACAAGTTGAAAGTTTGTGGTCGTGTCTTTTCCGTATTTATCGAGAAATGCATTCATTTTTTAAGTTGATTTTTTTAGGTGTTTTTCGAAGTATGCAGTAAGTATTGCTGAAGACCCAATTGACGAAATATATACGTAGTTTGTGTTTGAAAAAAATTGTATAACATTCTGATAAAACACATTCAATAATATTTTGAAGATAAATTTACATTTAAATTTAAAAAATCTTAATTTAAGAGAGCGTAAATGCTTGTCGACATCTAAATTTCTTAACCTTTCATCTAAATCTTCATTTTCGTGATTTATTTTTAAAAGTCATTTTTTTTAGTTCATTTTGATAAAACCTTCCTATGATTTGTTCTTTGTCTTGATCGATCAATTCATACGTGGGAGGTGATGTGTTGTTTACTTTATCAACGATGAATATCTCGTTAGTCCAATAGCCGACGTAACCTTTCTGAAACAATGACTTATATTTAAAAATACGAACTCGATCTCCAACTTTGAATTTGGGTTTAATATTCAAATTGCTAATCTCGTTTTCAAAGTTGTTTCGAGTGTTGACGGACTTTATGATATTCGGGTTACTAGAGGCTTGCGTTGGCGTTACACCTATAGACGAATGTATTTTGTTATTGTATTCGTCGACAACAACTGGTAATATTTTAAGCCATTTTTGAGATTTCAATTCCGTGAATTTCTTGAATAATTTGCTTTTAAGAGTCCTGTTGAATCTTTCTATCACTACGGCTTTACCTTCGTTATGCGTGCTGTAAATTTCAAACCCCAGAGATTTCACATTTCTGTTGTAGAATTCGCTTCCTTTATCAACCCACAACTTTAGGGGTCGTCTGTTGGATTGTTTCATTATGGTTTCGAAAGACCCAAGCGTATCTCGTGTATATGTCGATCACCGTTAAACAATACTTGTACCCTCTCTCGACTGGCATGTTGATTAAATCGGCTGACCAAATTTCATCTTTATCAAAAATTTGACTTTGAGGTAATGTTTGTTTTTTCGAAATTCTTTGTGAATCTCGTCTGATATGCCCATACCCAATTTCAATTTTGCCTTCAAGAGTTTTATGATAAGAGCCCTCTGTAATTTGTCTTTGAAAGTGGGATTGGGAATATTTTCGAGTTGGTCTATCATTTGTTTGTCTGCTTGGTGTCTGAATGTTATGTCTTTGTTTCTGTACAGTATGTCGTGTTTGAGCGCTGCTGCGTCAACTCTATTAACGGGTTCTTCCCCTGGTTTGGGATTATCATTTTCGTCTAAACGCAGATCTAACCTAGTGCCTGGCCCTGTATAATTGTGCCCTGGGAGATGTTTTTCTCCGGGATATTTTGCCCATGGGAATCCAGGAAGAGAACCCAATGACTTTTGAATGTCTCTCGCACCGAAATGCGTTTTAGGAGGATGGACATTTATTAAAGACATATTTGTTCAATAAACACCATATATTTTTAATACGAAAGATTTAATACAAGGAGGAAATTTGTTGTTTGATACAAAATTGGCCACTTTGGGGATGAGAGATGTTAGCGCAGAGAAGAAACCGTCTCCTTCGAATTTTGTTTGTTTTAGTTTTAAAATTAAAGACATTTTTTTTTTTTTTAAATGCGGTTATTTTATACTGTATTATTATTAGTGATTCTTGTCTGTGGTTTGGGGTAATTTATAATACAGTTTGGAGGAATCTGTTATGATTTTTTTTTTAACAGTTTGGGGAAGTCTGTTATAATACATTTTAACAGTTGTGTCTTTTCGGATATGACGCAATGAAAAAGCCGCGCATGCACAGAAGTGAAATGCGTCATATCCGAAAAGACATATACCTGACATCTCAAAACCGGATCAAACTGGATGCGCTATATCAGAAAACACATATACTACTCACGAGAGCTACGAGCTGAGCTGAGAGGCACGAATGAAATTTTGCTCAGCTGGGAGCTCTCGGGTGCGCTAGACTCTGCGCACACGAGAGCTACGAGCTAAGCTGAGAGGCACGAATGAAATTTTGCTCAGCTGGGAGCTCCCGTGTGCGCTAGCCTTTAGGAGATAACAAACAAATTCACTTTTGTGTCAGTTGTGTCAGAATTTGGCAAGAATTGTGCTTGATTTTGTTATAATGAGACTTTTATGTCCACTAAAATATTCTACATACAAAAGTCATACCGACATCCAGTGTGTTATCTAACAAGCCGATGTATTTCATTTTTTAACAAATTATAAGAGCAATGGGTAGAGTGAATTAACAGGATAACTGAAACAATAGCATATGAAATTAAGGTCAGGCGTTTCCTTTACAAACAGACTTTAACTTCGCGCCTTTCGACATAAAATAAAAAATTTAAATATTCCAGTTAGTGCAAGTTTGACAAACTCCGACTTTTGTCATTCAGACCACGGAAAAGACCACTGTACCAAAAACTGTTCTTTGTAGCATTGAACAGCCATGTTAGATTTTTTGGTTCGCGGCTGGATCATTTCATTAAAAGAAGTCAAGCGTGTCTGTGAATCTCTGTGTCTTTTCCATAGTTCTACGTCGAGATGAATGTAATTAATTTGCAAAGCCATCGCAACAATTCAGTAAGCTTTGGCTAGCCAGTTAACCGAATCAATGGTGGCTCACTGTCATTTTATCACAATCTGCTTGCTGGTTACATTCAATCGGCTCACATGTAACTTTCGGTAATAGAGTGTAGTTGTAGCTTATAATAGTCACCGGTTAACAATTTACATATTAAACATATTCCTTTAGAAATGGTTTACAGGTGGCCATGGTGGATAAACATTCCCCAAAGTAGGACATCAACGCGAGGCATACTATCGGATCAACTGTGTCAGAACGCCTTGATTGTTGTTTGCTGATTCCCAACACCAGTCCTGAATATTTATAAAAAGTAAAAATCGATTAACATCAAAAGAGTGACAAATCTAATGTACGGTTCTCTATGAGAGCACGGTGGCAAACATAGCGATCTTAGATTCCTATAACGCGAGGCTCATGTTGTCTGGGGATTCAATGCATAAAATCAGATCCAACACAGTCAACATCAACCAAGCTACAAAATAATGCAAAGTGGATCTATTTGTCGACCACAGTATCTACTATTCTCGATATATCCGGTCCATTGTGATGGATCCACCAAATGTTTTAACCAGTCAGATGACCCTAGTTCATCTTTAGGAAAGCCTTCCAACTGCATGTAAAAAACAATTCTGTTACCTTGCTACACATGCTAATTATTGACGCCTTTCTGAAATAGGTAAATTTCATAAATTGGGTGATTAACGAAAGCAATTTTTTGAAGGCTTTATCAACCAAAAAGAACAAGAAAAAAACACGAATACTAAAGTCTAATTTTGGATAAAAAAAAATTCAGGACATAATTCAAGTTTATGCCAAATGGTGGTTGTATGAGCGGGAAAAACGACTCAACTATTATTATGTAAGAAAGGACACATGGTAACTATTTAATACCAAATAAACTCTGAGTTAAGAAGCCAAGACGCCACTAGTCCTCTGCACCTTCTAACCGGCTGATGGCTTTCAGTAACGGCGGATAATTTCAGGACAACCAACACCAACTCTGCTCAGATAGAACTTTGGTGATTTTTAGACATTGCTTCAGAATAATTTTACGAAATGTACTTTTAAATTCTTAGACACAAGTTCGAGTTTTGCAGGCGCCAGCGTTCCTCTTCGTTCGATTGTGGTAGATAGAGTTCGGTGATTTATCTGATTTGAAACAATGGCTTCTATAATTGAACTACTTGTTGTAATATGTATGATGGTTGGTCTGTCGCACCAGAAGAAGGTAAGTTAGTACTTGATTCTAAAATTCAGATGGATTACCAATATTTTATTGTAAATGTACACATGTATGTGTTTTGCAAATTGAAATATTTTGATAATATTTCAAAACAAGATAGGAGTGACTTAAACTCACTTGTTGAATTTGCGAAATATGTGTCTGAAATTGGAAAACTATCTCCTTAAATTTATAAAATGCCACATGAAATTAAAAGTAACAATCCTGTGTTAAATCAATTTAATCAAAGTTGACAAACGTCTGCTCTGATGACAAAAAAGTGTCGGAAAACCACAAAAATCTGTTCTGATACTAATCAGCGTGTCTGAAATAGGCCAAAAACTCAATTGAAAGATCCAAGAGAATCTATAATTGGATAAAAGGGTGATCTGAAATGAATCAACTTGTAAAGTAACGTGCAAAGCTGTGCAAAACTGCTTCCGAAAGTCTACAGAAGTTTAAGTTCAAGAGACGTAAATTCGTTAAGAAAAAAATCAAAATTTTAGCCTTAATAGGAAATGAGAGTTCGATAATCATAAGTTTGATCAAATGTTGTTCATCAATGTATCAAAAAATGTTGATACAGGTTCTGTCAAAATTGTGTTTTTGCTATCTGTTTTTACAATCATACTTTTCTGACACAATTTGGTTAGTGGCAATGTTTATTCTTATTAGGTAAAATAAGCATTGGTTTTAGTAAATACATGACTTTTATACTGACGCGTGTCTACAGTTTCTAGACCAAACTCGCCAGAATAACAAACTTCTGTTCAGGAAACTGAATTTTAGTGTATAATAATAAAGTTTAATTTTATGGGATTATATGGGAATTTCCTTATAACATAGAATATCTAGTGGTCGGATTCCAGATGACACCAGATTGTTACATAAACCTTTATTTTGTTTTATACTATAACTACTAAATCTAGAAATAAAGGTATAGATAGGTATTTAGTAATGATACACTCTATTGTCTTAGAAACGTTTATCAATGTCGTCCCAAAAGGCTAAAAGTTGATCATTTTGACAAATGATGTCTAAGAGTATCTCACATAAATTTATCTTTATTGGAACAGAGGATTTGATTGGTTGAATATTAAATGATCCAAAACACGATATGGATAACAATTTCGTCAGATCATGGATGGCAAGTGGAGTCACAAACAAAGAAACCCAATAAGAAACGAAACGAAACATCCAGATTTGCATCAGTTGCATATGTTTGCATATAAGAATAGTGGACATAAGTTTCGAATGCAACTCCCATGCCGCTTAGTTATGAGGTGCGTCCGGCAAACTGGCAATCGTTTTGGTGTGAGGACCTCTTTACGATGGTTTGACTACACTATGTACCTATGTAAATTGCCTTGATTAATGTTTTGCAGACAACAGTAATAGAGAACCTGTATATTAATACTGATATCAGATATAGATTTGCTACCACCACTGTATCTAGTACCATATCAAATCCTACGTATGTCACCCGAGAAATAGACATGGATGTAATCCTGCCAGAAAATGCATTTATTTCATCTTTTGTCATGTAAGTATGTACATAAATCAGGGTATATATTTTATTAATATATATATAATATTATATATTCATTATCGTCAATGGCGTATCTGGACGTCCAACGAAAACTAACCTTACATGTGAAATCAACAAGTTTCTTCTGCCTTTCAATTTATTTCTTTTGCCCGAAATCAGCTTATGTGGACATACATCGTAAAGATGAGTGAGACCTTAAAGTTTCCAGTCAATAATGAGTTTAATGTTGGGTTATTTCAGGGATATTGAAGGCAAAGAATACCAGGGTCACGTGGAAGAAAAGTCAACAGCCAAGCGAAAATATCTGAAAGCTAAGAAAGAGGGAGAAAGCGCAGGTCATTTAGCTGCCAGGTTAGTAGTTCCTTAAAATTCAGAAATTGAGTCAATTGAAGATTTAATAAAAGTCAACTCTTGTCGTGAAGACGAATTGTCAATGGACTCGACCCTGAGAGTGACAGAATCTGTGAGAAACTGTATTTCAAAGACTGCTAGCAGCTAAGAGATCTGATCAATCGTTCAAAAACGACATCGTGTTCTTTTCTTTTCATTAGAATTCCAGCACCATAAATATTATTGTGCCCTGTTTTTTTCAGACCTCGAGATACCAACAGATTTATTGTACAAGTTAATATCAAGGCACACAAGAAAGTGGCATTCAATTTGACCTATCAAGAAGTGTTACGACGAAAGAAGGGATATTATGACCATACAGTTTACATTAACCCTGGAGAGCCCGTCGATGATTTAAGGGTTAACGTCAACCTCGTAGAATCTCGTTATATAACGTTCCTGAGAGTTCCACCAATCAGAGATGATCTACTATCGAGCATGGATATGTCAAGTATGTATCTAAAAGAGCTGTTCGACTTTGCATTTTAAAGACAATCAATGCTAGATTGTGGTTGAAATAGTCTAGAGGAACCGGTACCAAATTCTTTGAAAAGTTTGCCCTTTCCTCCGAAAAAAATCTGTACTGAGATGCCGGTTTATCAAATTTTTGTAACGTAAAAAACACGTCCTGTCCCAAGTTTGAACAACCCAAACAAAGGAAAGGAAATTCAGAACCTTCCGGTATAAAAGTGGCAGTGTTTTGTCAAAAGCTTGTAATTGTCACCAGATGTAAAAGAAACAAACACCATTTTTTCATCACAAAATTCAACTTTGAAATATGATGATGTATATGCACCCAGTATAGCAGGACAAACATTTATCAGGTCCTTGGGGTGTTAAAGCCTTTTAGATGTAATAATACATCTTGAATCAGCTGAAGAACTCAAAATCTTTTTTCTGATTCTTTAGGAACAAGAGTACCACTTTGTTCATACTTTTCTGAATTGTTTACGTCTGCATGTTTTAGGAGGCAGTCATTGATGTGTGCTTTGCCACATCTCGAGGTTTCAATCCTGTCATCGATTGTAACTTCGGATCTTTCAACCTAGTGCATCCGGTAGGAGGGGCCGGACAAACAAACTTGTGCATGTGACAGATAGCAATAGATGGAATAAAAAATATAATTAATGAATGTATGCCACTATCATCATGCATAGCGACATCTCTTTACAGTTCTAAATGTATAAAGTAAAACCTTTTGTTTCAGGAGATAATCCATTGGTGAATATTTACAGACCAAACAATGTGACCGCCCATATTAGTTTCCATCCTACTACTCAGGAACAGATGAACTCTAACCCGTGGGGTATATCAGGAATGTTCAGTGTTCTCTATGACATTGAACGTGATTTTGACGCTGGTGATGTTTTGGTAGGTACATTGCTCACAGAGAATTAGTCTCTTGGCCACAGTTCAGAGTAGTTTAGTCACAGATGTTGGTCAGCAGTGGCAAGTCCCCCCATCCCTCGGACGTAAACCTGGCTCAGACACTGTTGGTCAGAAGGTAAATTGGGTAAACTATGTCCAATTATTGAGACCAATGTATATTAAAATGTCCTTGTGGCTACTGTCAACCATTTTCATGTGATACTATGTGTACCGGACACACGTTATAGTTTCTATTTGCGCTATTCAAATTTTTACTTGACTAAGAGCCTCTGTCGAAAACCATTCTGCTTGAATATAATATATTATCACACTACCAGCCCTCAACCAACAATATACTTCCCAAAGACACAATTGTTTCCTATGGACACGACTTTTCAATGTAATTTTGCCTTGCAGATTATTGATGGATATTTTGTTCATTTTTTCGCACCCAAATTAACCTACCCATTGCCAAAAGATATTTTGTTTATATTGGATACCAGTGTTTCCATGGATTTTGGTAAACTAGATCAGCTGAAATCTGCTATGAGAGTTATTCTAAACCAACTTCGACCTGGCGATAGGTAAGCTATGGAATAACAGTCTATTTTAACCCAAACATTTTATCAAAATAATATACCTTGTTTGGTTCATTATCTGAAAAGCACAATAATTCCTGAAAATGACCCGGTTATAAGTCGTTTACCATGTCATTATATGAAGGGCGAGAGTGTTTATTATTTAAACCATAATGTTAAGAATGTTAAGCTATTGTTCTAATGTAAACTATAATATCTAACATATTATGTTATTAACTGAAACATGTGCAGATCCAGATTTAGCATTGTAATAGGCACTCTTGTTTTAGAACAATAACATGCATATTAAAGGGACAAGTTTGCCATCCGTTTCACCAATCATACTTTAGTCTCAGAAACGATATGTTTTTTACCTAAGCTAATCACCACTAGTGTTGACAGCTCACCATCGAAATTGGGACCTTCAAATCCATGTGTGTCCAGAATTATCCGCGTTCTCTAGTCAAAATGACGACTCGTCTGTTTTGGAACTCTGCGATATTTAGACAAGACATAGAAATAGACAGTGAAATTCCCAGTTTGAGGTATTTTTGAAGGTTTTTTGCGATTTTCGTACATAGCTAGAATTTCTGAAGATTATTTGAATGTATTAAGACTAAAATCAACCCCTCAAAATTGACTAACCTGTCCCTAAATGCAGAAGCGGAGCACAATTTACGGATAAAAATTATAAAAAATAAGTGTTCACTATACGCCGATTCCATGTCCTTGACAAATTGTTCTAGAAAGGGGAGCGACACTGTTAATCGGGTCAACATGACATTCTATAAGGAATGTCTATTAACTGTAGACTAATGGTATTACAATTTTTGATAGTTAACAGCCCAGGTTTAGGTTAGTTACTAACGCAATATGTTAATTTGACCTAATTTATTTTCAAATTTAGTAACGGTTTCCTCTGTATAATGGTACGACTAAAACAAATTCGTAAGAGTTATTACCATCATGGTTGAAACTTTATAATTTGCTTCGTATAAAAGCTTCTAAAATAGAACTCCTGAAACTCTATATCATTCTATTATTTTCGTTTTGATAGTATTTCTGTTAAAGGGACAGTTATGCCATGATTGGGAGTTGACTTGAGTTTTGAATATACATGTATGTAAATACACTTCCTTCAAAAATATCTCAAACTTTTCCTATTTTTATATATGTCTTTTCTATATATGGCATTGTCTCAAGAAAAGACGACTCATCTTTTTAACTTTCAAACGCAGATAATTCTGAACAGATATGGATTTGAAGACTCACATTTCGACGGTGAGAGGTGGATATTATTACTGATTGGCTAAGTTAAAAAGGCATGAGTGGTACAGCTGTCACTTTAAATGGTTCTGATCTCAAAATATCCAAGGCTTGATCTGGGGTATTGAAATTTCCAGTTTCTTTACGTATTGTTAGATTTAATATCCTGGATTTTAACACCTACTCTGACTTTTGGAACAATGAAGATATGGTTCCTGTAAATGACGTCACATTACTGAAGGCAATGGAGCAGATAGATAATTTACAGACACAAGGAGGTAAATGGCCATTTCAGGCGGAACATAATTGAACTTTGAATTTACTAAAACAAGTTGGTCAGCAGACGACAAACTATCAGCCAGTTATAATATGAAATTTAAATTGTTTTCTTCGCGACTTACAATTTGAAATATTATTCTATCTGAATGATAATCATTAAATGATTCAATCGAGCATCATATTTTTTGTCACTCTCTGTCCAATTCCAAACAGTCCCCATTAATTTTGTTAATTAAATTATACCTTTCAGCAACCGATATAAACGAGGCTATGGTAAAGGGGGTTAATTTTCTTTATGATCATGCTAGTGAACACAACAGATCAGTCGTCATCTTTTTAACTGATGGGAGATCAACTGTTGGTGAGACTCTGGACTCCGAAATCTTGAAAAACATCCGTGACGAAAATCGTTATCATATCCCTATTTACACACTTGCTTTCGGAGCTTATGCCGATTGGCCTCTCATGAAGAAGATTGCCGTCCAAAACGAAGGATTCGCACGACGTATTTATGAGGAAGCAGATTCGGCTCTTCAAATTCAAGGTTTCTACGATGAAGTGTCAACATCCATGGTAACAGATTTAGATTTTGACTATTTGGACGAAAGCGTTGATCGAGACACAATTACCAGTCGAAAATTCAGTAACTACTTTAACGGCTCTGAGCTCTTGGTGGCTGGAAGAATTGCTAATGGATCATGGGAAATACCAATCAATGTCCACGGAAACACCTCACTGGGCGAAATGGAGCTAACCCTTGCTGCCCGAGAAGAGCGAGAAGAGGCTAGGGAGGAATTTAAAGGAATCACAGAGAAGATGTGGGCTTATCTTGCTATTCAAGATATTCTAAGAAAGCGAGACGGTGCAATAGATGAAGACGAGCGAGAGGACTTGAAACAGCAGGCTATTGATCTTTCCCTTAAGGTACTGAAGTTTCCTTTCTCCTCAGAAAAAGCATTGGCGTCAATGATGCGAGGTTTCCACCTTAAGAGACTAATTAAATCGTTACAGAAGCCCATAATTAACATTATGATGCCGTCACCTCCACTGGTTTCAATTGTTCCTTTATTATCTGATCTATGTTGAATCGTACGTTGGATTTCAGTCTGACTAATCCTTAATCCTTATAATCATACATTTTCAGTATAACTTAGTAACACCAGTAACATCTATGGTAGTTACTAAACCAGGAGATACTGATCAGAGTGACCAAAGTGATCTGATTAGTACACATGAAGGCGAAGGTAAGTAGAGTTGCCTTCCGTGCAGGCAATCCATTATGGCGGCACATTGCGTATAGAGAAACTCATATTTCAGGAACACAGGGGTCGATTCTCTTAAATGTGTGGTTGCGATACTTCAGCCAGGAATGGGAAGACCTAATTTGAAAATTTCCTTGTAACCCAAAGCCGAATTGGTAGCGTTAAGAATTTAGACTATTTATACACTGCTTTCATATTGTAGCACCATCTATTCCAGTCTCTGGTGGTTATTTTGACAGTTGTCCGCTGGAGTAAAAACATGTAGGCCCTGTTTAATGTTGATTTTAAACACCTCCGAAAATGCGTTTTTTCGAACATAACATTAAATTACCTTTACTATAACTGTAAATTAGTGTTGGGCATCACATAACTTTCGTTTTGTTAGTATCACGTGACTCTGTGACCTTTGAGCTTTTGGCTGCGCACACAGTTTAAATGACTGCAAGAATGCAAGATCAGTTTGTTGAAAAAAATGATAGAACCGGAGATACATAATTTATTACATAAATTGAAAGAAAATGATGGTAAGACTGGAATGCAAAAATATTCTTCTTTCCCTGTGTTTTGCAGACTGAAAGTATCTAACTAGGTTTTAAAAACACACACTGAAATTAACAGGGCCTATTTTGTCTTGTCTCGACAGGAGCCGGCATCGATCAGAGGCTGGTAGAGAGTACAGATGTTTCGGTCTTATTTTTAGCATAGACCTAAGCAAAAGTAATTTTCTGCAGTGTGTGGAAGACGATGCTTAGTAAATTTGCCCCATAACGTGTTGATATATATTTTGACGATATACCGATTTTCACCTATGTTCATATTAATCTACAGGATTCAACATAGGACAGTTTGGTGGCTGGAGAAACCGTGGAAGAGGTAAGCATATAGATGAAATAAACCCATAGCGTGTTACCAACACGTGTTATCGATATAATGGCCTTGGTGGAAGAACTTTTTATCACAAGGGGTTTTATGTCAGAAACTGACGCATAGGTGCAAATGAGCCGAACTTGCCAATTTTTCAACCATAAATACTTATTCAAATAAACCAACTACATTTCTTTACTTATCAGTTGGTGGAGATCCCCATTTTATGGTGGATATAGTTGGTATGGAGGTTCCTGTTTGTTACGATGTGAAAGGGAGAAACAATGATGTCTTCCAGTTAATTCAGGATCCAGATCTAGGTTGGTAGTTTCTGTTGGAAAATCCACCATCAGAGGCATAACTTAAGAAGCCTCGTTATATTTTAAGATTTCATATAATGTCAACAAATAATAAGACAAAAATGGCATCAATTCGATTTGGAAAAGTCGTGGACTAGACGCAAGAGCAAATAATATATGTGTGCTAAAATGCCCAAAAAAACGAGATTATTATCAGTAAAATACCAATTTCCACGCAATATAACGGCATATTGATTTGATTTTCCAATTTAAACCAAGGGTCGAGGTCACAATATATCCTACATCATTTACATTTTGCATATTATTTAAGTACGCAGTGTTATTAATCACCCTATTACTACTATTTGATATTATACATAATATATCTCCAGATTTGCGAATTAACATCAAGATGAAACTAGGAAAGAAGAAAGACAGAAATGGTCATCAAAGAAAGTTTATTAAAGCTGTAGCTGTATTGTATAAGGAATTAACGGTAGTAGTTAAACTCGATACCGTGGTAATTAACGGTAAAGATTTCAAATGGGAACAATACAAGATCTTACATCGTTCAGGGGCTACCATTAGAGTAAGTTATTTTCAAAATAATACGGACAGAATTGAGTTGTATCGGATATTAAAACAGACCCTGGCATCATATCCGAACGAATTTTTAATTCAAGCAAGTCTTTCCTTGTTCTGCAATTACATTTAAAATATCGGGTATTTCGGTATGGTATAGGTAGATATGGAAAGTCTATATCATACTGAGTAACACCGCTGGTATTACTGAAGGCTTACTTTTATTGAAAATCTGATGGGATTCTGCGACTTGATGTATCAACTTGTTTTGAATTTCGCAAATGCTATATGTTATCATAGCGGTAAATGATTTTAAGATTTGAATGAAGCAGTTATTAGGAGGGCCCCCTACATGGCGTCAGTTCTCTATAATTTTGAAAAATTCGGATTTTCTTTGGATTTTTTTTTTTGCATTCTTTTCTGAATGAATGGCTTTGAATATCTTTTATCATTAACTTAGTACATTACTGACTTTGTGATTCTGAACAGATCGAGGAAGATGAAGCGGTGCTGATCATCACGCTAGAGAATGGTCTACCAATTATTATAGACAGACACCAACACTGGTCTCATGATGACGCTACTGGCGATGACTTTATTAATGTTGATATCCAGAAAGAGAATAAGCTTTCTCATAAAGCTACTGGTGTTTTAGGTATGTAGCGGATACAATAGAATTGTACAATAGATTAATTGTGCAGCAGGAAATAGTGCCGAGCAAGAAACTTCTCCCATTATATGGAATACAGACTCAGACCTAAGTTCAAATATTATCTGTTATTTTTTCAATTATTTGTTTTATTTAAAAGCAGCCTGCTTTTATACCTTTTGATCCTTGTGACACATATGATCTCTTTCAGGCATGTTCATCCATAAACATGTAACAGCAAAAGAGTACAGATTAAACGGACGACATACAGCAATTATCCGAATGATGATCAATGGCAGGCTTCAGGGCGATTCTGCAATTTTAGCCAAACGTCACGACCCTCTGGTGAACGCAACAGTGCCGTGTTGGTCCTTGCCAGAGCACGGGAAGATCCAAAAACATATACAATCCTTCCAGAAGAAGCATTTTCTGGATAAGTAATCTATTTGCTTTGATTAAAAATCAGAAGAATATGCATTTATTTGATGTAAATAATAAACTAAAATTCCTCTATAATACATAAATTGAAGAGGTCATTAGAAAGGGAGATAATCGAAGGCAAAAGGCGGAACGGAAACGTTTTTTATTGAATAGTATAATAGGGAGATTTGATAGAGCACGTTCAGCAGAAAGGGATGACAATAAGTATATCAAGTCAAAGGGAGGTAATTTTTAATAGAAATTAATCATGTAAGGTTTCTATTTTGAAAAGTCCATAACTTCTTCGACCTTTCTACATTATGGCTAGATCAAAAGCATGGATCAAACAAGTCCGGGTTTTAAAATGTTAAATTTTTTACAATGCGAAAACGATGGACGAGGGTTATAGATTTTAAAGGATTCACGAGGTTGGATCTAGAGCATCCAAGTAAGCCTGCTCTATAATAAATCTTATGCGCATGTATTTAAAGATGGATTTCCTCATTTTTTAGTGTCAAATTAAGCAAAGTATTTGATTAATTGGTGTTTCTAATGAATTATCATGTTCTCTTAATCATATCATTATGTTCTTATTGCATATGATTAAGAGTTTTTTTTATGTCCATGTATGTACTATCTGGATAAACAATCTTTGCAACCTTTCTTGATTGGTCACTCATTGTAATTCTGCTGGTAATTCTCTTCTAATTTAGCTAATGAATTTGTGAAACAAACTGGTATTTTTCTAAGTCATTAGAACACCTCAACTTTCTATTCATATAAGTATTAGAATTTCTATTTTCATAAATGAAAACAAGGGAACCCATCTTTAACACATCGCAGAATTAAGAGAATATTAGTGAGATTATGTAAATGGTGTTAGAGCCACGTATTATTCGGAAGAGTATATCAGGAAATATTATATAAATAAATAATATAAATTAATAATAGTTTTATTTATCAAATATTAGAAACCAATTTCAGCAGTAACAATGACGTCACAACGCAGAAAGAATTAAACTAAGGAATATAGCAACAAGGGGGAATAATCCATTTTTCCACCTATTATCTTTCCAGCAAAATTTTATGATTTGTTTAGTATAAGATTTTGATTGAGATATTCATGGCAAGCCTTTATTACCGTCGGAAAAGGGTTAGATATCGAAACTGACCCAAAAATCCTTAAGATAAGAAAAAGATGATACGCATCTTAAGTTGATATGTTTTACATACACAGGACACAGATTTCATTATATCGACACAGAGTTTATTGAAAGCATCGTTTGACTGTCAAAATATTGTGCTTCTTTCAAATGTCAATCAATTATTTCAATAGCAAAAACTCGTTAACGGCTATTAAGATGCCAAATTAATCAGATATTATAATTACAAAAGTTGGTTACACAGTGACACGAATGTTGATATAACAAATTTTAGAAACCAGGCATGTTATTTCTTTAACGGAAAATGATAACAATAATTTAAATATTCTAAAATCACAATGCTTGGATATAAATAAAACAATAAGTACACAGTTTAAATCCTGAATTATAATTTGAGCTATACACATCACATTCATACAGGTTAAAGTCACTTTATGCTATATTCTTTCTACACATCAAATTTAACATTGAGCTGTATATATTATATCCATTTGTTTGTATCTATTTCAAAGTTAGAAGCATACATTCTATATCGTATCTATACATATAAGAAATATAAAATAAAAATGTGCACTATTCTACATTTTATAAACATGTACACTTGTTATATTATAAAATACGCAAGAAATGTACTCATTGTACATCTATTTGCATGTACATGTACACTTAAAATGATAAATATGCATGTACACTTAATATTATAAATATGTACAAAATACTATATAGTACACAGATAATATCAACATCTTTGAACTACATGTAACCTTAAAGTTCCATATATCATCACCCATCTTCACTGGTGCCTATAGCTGTTAGTAATATACGTCAGATATCAGTACATAACTATAACATTATAAACACAGAATTATTCGGCAAATACATCCAATTTTTGGCACATTTAAATATTGTGTAAGCTAAGTATATACCGTTTGTACATAAACATTTTATTTGTACATATAATGTAAAGTATGCATACAATTATTAATACATATAGATACATAGATAATATATGAAGGATAAGGTACTTCTGAACTTCTCTAATTGTTTTGTTTTGCACACAAAATAATGTGTACACAACATCTGTACAATTTAAAGTTAAGCTTTGTACATCATATTATAATGGTCTGTATATTTAAAATATGAATAGAATAAGCATACTAGTATCCACGACAAGAACTGCATAGGTAAGTCTATAATGCTACACAATTTGATGATTTTCACTGTGTTTTTTTTTCATTTCTTGTGATGAACATAAGTTCATATAACCAGTATCTTGCCGTTCAAGTTAGTACTTCAGTATTGCTTAAAGCTTATGAACGCTTCACGATTGAAGAAGATTTGTCAAAATCACATAGATTTTTTTTTCAAAGCAGTGTTACAGAATCAGTTTTGAGAGCAGTAAATGGTAACAGCGAGTATATATCTTTCTGTTGGCGAAGCTTCTGAACGTCTCTAGAGGATGATCTTTTCTGGTCAATCTTAATATATTGGTTCAATCTTCAATTAATCAAAAATTCAACAAACCATACACAATTCAGTTCACGTTCATTTTTTGTTATGATTGCTGGGTTAAATTTTCTGAAAAAAGAAAAGTTATTCATATTTAATAATAATTTGCAATTGCTTTTATATACATATGCATAAATATATATATATATTTTGGACATATCTCTAAAAATACATTTGCGTACCTGCCAACACGACAGGCGGTACCCGAGAGATTCAACTGGGACATTCAAATAATATGTTTGTAATACAAGAGGATGGATTGAGACCCCTGTCGACCGTATTCAATACTTTTGGATTTCCTTGCATTTGGTTGGAAGGTGGTGTACAATGCGCAGAATGCACAAAAGGTTAGAAACCAGGAGCTTATTGGGTCGCATATTCTTACTATGTATTTCATAGGGCCAGTAGTAAGTACAGTAGTCAGTTGGTTCCTGAATATCTAAATATTGATAATTCCAAACCAGTTGTCCCAAAGATAATTATATATCGGTAGTACAAATGTCGACAGTACACAATGGGTTTATATCAATTAAATTGGATTGTGCTGTACTGTACTTATAACGTTCTTCCTTTTGTATCTTACTATCCCTAAAGTATTCGAGGAATTGCGTCCCTAACTAAGACTGGACGATTAAAGCAGTGAACAGTTGATCACAAACATCACAGACAGTGGCAAAAGAACATATAACCAGAACGAGGTAAGATGGAAAAGTTTGAAAAAGAGAACAAGTGGACATTTGAAGAATTAAGTTTTTGGAAAAAGAGGAAATTTGAAAAAGTGAAGAATAAAGAACATTGTAGTCAACAGATTAATAACAAAAAACTGCAAAAACAGAAAAATAGTTGTTTGAAGTCAATAAGTGGACAAACTGCAATAAAAATTTGAAACAAGTGAGTACATTGCCAGAGAAAATTCGGAAAAGAGAGATAAGATTTATTGGAAAAAAAAGGGACAAATTTCAACAAACGAAATAGGATTGGAGACAAATATCAAATGAACAAGTGCACATGAACAAGTGTGTAAACAACAAATGTAACTGAACAATGTCGAGTTCTTACCAACGAAATGGCGAGCCTGTAATACAATAGTACATATTAACATAAGTGAGTATTTGGGTGACAATAAAAAGTTAAATTCACTTTAAAAGCATGATAAACAACACAATAGAGATAAATAGGTTATGTTTGGATACAATTAGTATTGTTCTTTTATACGACTTAAATGTCATGCTTGCATTTACTTGTATATGTTTCTAAAAGTGATTTGGTTCTGAACTTACCACTGGATCGAGATTTATTGGGTGATCTGGAGTCACGTGTTCTTCTCCGTGGTGATGGTGACGCATGCGCTGACATGGACTGACGCTGTCCTTTTCTAGATGGCGCTAAATTCAAAAAGAAACATTGACTAGATTAGTTTCCAGCGTCAGTGGCTATAAAGAGAGCTGCCTAAATTAGCTATAGCTGTGTAAACGCCTTTATGCTAAAGGTTAGAGTTCCTCTGAATCAGCCAAGAGCATGACAATCTTCCAATTCAAGATAGCCCATTCGTATCAATTTCCGTAGACGATTAGATCAATACTTACAAATTCTTGATTGATCTGAAACTTCATCTAATGCATCAAGTGAGCGTCTTCTCTGATCTAATCTTCCATTATTGGAATCGTCCTTCTGCAATGATTAAACGGGATTACAATAAAGGAAATGTAAGCGGTACAATTAAGTGATAAAAGCACGGACCTATACGTTTCGTGCTTACCTTCGGGTTCCAAACCACATTCAGATCTGCATTTATAGCCTATCAGATTATATTTTATCATTACTACTAATTAAGTCATAAATTGACTTTTTTTTTAATAAATGGAGACTGGAGCATTTTAAACCCAAGTAAAGCCGCGAATAGAGAATAGACGAGTTAAAGCGTCCGGTGCGGAAAAATCGAACTCAAAAAGAAGAAGTGAACAAACGAGGTACGGGTCCGGAAACCATTCGTTTCGTTTCTTTTATTTTCTACTGTATCGATAATCCCGCACCATACAACGCACTGTACGCTTTACCTCGTCTATTCGCATCTTTATTCTACAACTGTATGCTACCGATCAAGGGATTTATCAATACCTACCTTTGCTTTGGCCGGATGTCGTCTGTGATGACGTGGTGACTTCGAGTTATCTCCCTTCTTTCCATTTTTACTGGAACTGTTCCCACCACCTTCGGCACCACCTGACGAACCACCAGAATTCGGCGGAGGAACGCTGGATTTTGGTAGTTGAAACCCTTGTTGTAGAACATGATCACGTAACGGATACCAATGGGGTTTGTTGTCTAGGAATGCCTTTTCTGGAACAGAAATGACGAATATTGCTAAAAGCTTTCTAAGCATAATATTTGGTTGGAATTTGAAAGAGAATATGGATGAAAAAGGTTGCATGCATGGCTTCACAGAGGATTTGTCCGAACCCCCAAAACATTCACATAGTATACATACTGCTTCATTCAATTACAGGTGAATAGTCCTTTTCTCAGAATGACCTTAAAACCAACAAATATCAATATGATTCGTATTCAAAATCAACATACCATCTAGTTCAATGATGAGTTCTCCAAGAAAATCATTACTTTTAAATCGGTCGTAATCCCAAACGGTGATCTCCAAAACTTTATTTTTCAATTCCTCAGTAGCTAGATTCGGGAATATTAACGTTTGGTGCCACTCGGGGTTTAATGTCCGAGCAATGTGCTTCGTTCGCCGTTTATTTTCGGCCCTGAAAAGGTGATACACGATGATTTTGAATGTTTGTTACAATTTCAAGACCTATTTCAAGTTATGTATGAGCTGTTTGGACTACCAAACGGGATGTTTTTTTTTGTCTCAAACACCCATCATTCTGATTTTTGTTTCCATATACGCAGTTAAATCAATTACGAAACCAACCCATCGCATTTCAAGGAGGAGAATGGTTGCATCTTCTGTGGGAATGTCAATCTCTTGAACCAAGTAGACACCCCCGAATAATTATAATTATTTTACTCACCCTCTGCCAGGCAAAAGATAAATCTTAACGAAAGGGTCAGAGAGACCGTTGAGATCACGCGGTTTCAGATTACGAGCCTGGATTACATGAATGTTCAAAATATTATCAAAATCATCGTGGCTTATCTGGATCTGAAATCAAGATTATCACAATTGTATCTTGAGCATTTAAATATTGTATTCACATATTGACAATATGAATGTTCTTCAACTTGCAGGTTTGTAGACGAATATGGTCTATCCTGAGGTGGAGGAATCCCTTACAAAAAGAAATATTTAAAAGATTTCTCCTTTGACTCTAAAATATGGATTTTTGAAAAAGTATAGTTTTTGAGAGATGTTTAATCTATATCTCGGATATACACTCCATTGTCCGGAAGGAAATCCTGATGTATTAGTGTTACGAATGCAGAATGAATCCACGTGCTTTAAGACAGGACCTACCTGTATGGTGCCTTCGCCATTACTATCAGAACTGTTTACTGACGGTGTGGCGCTACTGGCAGTAGACAGGTTTCCTGGGTTTGGTGATTGTCTTGGTGGTCTTGGTGAATGGCTTCCTGGATTGATACGGCTTGGTGACTGACTTGAGCTGGAAGACTGGGGTGATGCCATTGCTCGATGCGACGTTGATGTTGTTGGCTGTATTGATGTTGTACGCTGTGTTGTTGTTGTATGCTGTTGAGAGGTAATAAGCGAATTAGTTCACATAATCATTAAGAGGAAAGTGCATGTAAAAAATTTGCCTATTTATAATTTAAGATTTAAAAGGTACCGCACAAGACACTAAATATGGTGCCAATTTCCCTATACAAAGGCCAAAAACCTGTTATCCATTCCGTGGAGTAAACGACAGGGTGCAAACAAACATAGATGTTAAAGTCAAAGATGTGCAGTATTTCGCAATTACAGATATTGGCTATATTTTGGACCGCTCGAATATAATAACTGATAAAGTATAGAGGATGAAATGAAAACTTACCCGAGTTGTTGTTGTAGGAGATGTAGTTGGTGGGTGAGAGGTAATGTTGGGTTGAGAAGACCGTGTTGAATGGGTCGTACGGGAGGTATGAGATCCGGACTTCGTGCTGCTGCTTCCGCTCGTTCCAGTTTGGCCTTGACTTGAATGACCTTGACCTTGCTGTTGTTGCTGGCTTTGATGTTGTTGTTGTTGTTGCTGTTGCTGTTGTTGTTGCTGAGCGACTTGGATGGCAAGAGATTGTGATGCAGTCTGAAAGAAAAGTGATCGCTAAAGTTATGTTATAAGGGTGTATCGAAATAATAGCCTACCACTGTTTATATATGAAGCTTTGCTATTGACCTCGTTAACCAGTAAAATGGGACAAATTAACATGCGCAATAAATGACCCAGTAGAATGAAATTTACAATTTTTATCAGTAAAATTCCTAACAAAAAAAATTCTAAAAAGTGAAAAAAGGGTTCGTACCTTATCATGAGATAAGCGTTGATGTTTATCAGAGGGTGTAGAGGTGGGGTCAGAAAGAGGGGTGCTGCAGGGTGAGGATACACTGGGGGTAGCGAAATCGTGCTGAGAGGAAGATGGAGAGTTTTCAGGGGAAACGTCTTCGCGAATTTCTTCTAACTGAGCTGCCAGTTGCTGTGGATCAACACCCTTTGGTGAAACTCCAGATCGGGCTTCTACAAGAGAAGTAAAGAATTCTAATCAGACTTTGTTCGAGAGGAAAAGGGTAGCTCTATGATTTGGTTGACTGTTGTGTTTTATTTTATTTTTTTTACAGCAGATAATTGATTATTTCATTCTTTTCTGACATTTTCTCTTGTAACTCATTGCAATAGAGTCACAAAAAAAATCGTTACTTTCGCCATCGACAACAGTCAACCAATAATGATTGCAACGATGAATACAAAATCTACCTACTAGTGACTATTAAAATCAAAATCTAAATACTCGTAATGGCTCATATGTAACAAATCAAATACTGTCGAATGATGATCTATAGTCATTAAATAATGAATTAAGACAAGATATTCAATAATGAATTATGACAAATATGTACAATTTGATTTGTAATAAACGGGCATATAATTGGATTATTCTATCGTGAAAATGGAGAATTAAATAAGCAGTGATATGATTTGGTACATGTGAACCATATTACTAGACGCTATCTATATTTAATGATTAAATGAATATAAAATTGTATTAAAAATGATGTAATAATGCAAATTGACTTACTTTCACCAAGTTCATCATCACTATATGGAAGGTCGAGGTTATCGTAGGAGGAATGGCAACTATTAGAATGGCCACCTGGTTTCTTAGATCCCGAAGGAAAGGCAAGTCTGAAAGCATATAGTCATTCAACTATTTAATTCATGTAGACCAAAACTTAAGTTCCTTTCTTTTGTAGTCAAATACATACACCGAAAAATGCAAAGTACTGCTGTCAACACGCTACCATATTTCAAAGCTCCAACTGTGACCTGGGATGATAAGGAGGAATCAACAAATCAGAAACTTACGGTCTGACAACCATTTCTATTTCGCCATTAGGTTGAGAAATAATCTGCTGTACATCTTCATAACTTTTACCTGATAGAGTTACACCATTCCATTCTAGTACTTGATCACCTGGAAGAAACGAAATCAATGTTTGAAATAGTTAACAATGTCCCAATTCAAAAAATAAAGGGTTATATTCGATTTTTTTTAATTCGTTCCTACGCACGGTATCCGACAATGTTTGGCGCTCTTAAATAAGAAGATTTGAATGCTTACAATAATTCGGCATCCGAGAGACATCGCATTGAACATTTAGAAACCTAACGTTGCTTATTTCCTTTTTTTAATTATTCAAAAAAAATATTGTTGTTCATTTCGCTTGATTTGCACTTACTCCTTTAGGCCAATATTTCACAGTTAACACTCATTTCCAAGGCTGACTGTCTCTCTTCTCCTTGTATTCCACAGGCATTCGAAGGAGGCCAAAATAAATGGCTAAAAACAATTACGCTATTGAACCCTTTGGAAGTTCCAAATTATAAACCCTGTTAATATCCTTAAACCCTAGAGTAAATACAAGGATACTTACCAACTTCCAGTTCTCCATGAAGTTGATCCGCAACACCACCTGAGTAGATAGCTGTGACGTAAGCACCAGTTTCTTTTGTTCCTGGTACTTGTTTACCACCGACTATCTTCATTCCAAGACCATTTCCTAGGAACAAAATATATTCATTCAATCATTTTGAGTGACATATGGACAACACTACATTCAAAGTAGCTAATGTACAAGATGCAATGGACACTTTGGCATAACTGGGCTTAAAACTTAAATGTAAAATTTAGAAAGACTCATGCTGGCGCATCCTACGAAGACGTAATCGACTCTGCCACAAAATCATCGTGTAAACAATTTACAAACAACAAATACCAAAAATAGCGATTGAATAAAAACAATGCTGTATAATCAACATCCAAAAGGAAAACTTTTACAAGAGCTCAAAAACTGAGCAGTTATCACGGGAAAATATAAAAAAAAAAGACATAACATACAAAGAGGTGCTGAAGTTTTGTTGCTCACACAATGGAAGTGCTTTTTATAGATAAAATGTGCTGTTATATTCAGAGTGAAAGTGCCAAATAAAAGAAATTGTTATTTCAGACATCCGATGCAGGGAAATAAGATGATAATCCCAGTGGCAAGATGCCACCAAGTGATTATGTGTTCTGGATTGACAATAAAGAAGTATGCTCGATTAAAATTGAGCGATAGGTTTAATATGTATGAGGTCAAGGCCAAGTTGAAAAACCTTGATGCACGGTGTCAAAAGCTTTATAACACAGTTACGAAGTGTGATCGGATGCCTATGTCAAAAAGTCTGACAATAAGCGATACATTATTATACTTTTAACACGACAAGCAATAAGATAATAAAAGGTGACTCACTGACAATAAGCACAACACTGACGAAGTTTGAATTAAAATTACTATTACCTGTCGTACCTGTCACAGACCTGTCTTTAGGGTCACGTGTTACCAGGATTCGTTTGGTTGGAAAGGGATACTTTATTGGATCTCTGGAAGGAGTCTGCAAAAATGAATAAAAACAAATATTTAAAGGATACTTTCTTATTTGAACTTGCTGCTTTTATATACATATATAATTTTATTTAATTCGTACAGCATCATTTACAATATTTATAAATTATTCGGAATTTCAAATCATAGTGATACGTGTATTGGTGTTTTGGTTTATGGTTCTGAAGTAATCACCTTTACCTCTACAAAAAATATTCTCATTTATTCATTTATTCATTCATTCATTCTAGTAGAGATCAATAAGCAATCACTCTATCCCGTTTATTATTCATTGTATTAATCTAGTGTATAAACAAAGGCTGTTATTCTCATGTTATCTTGATAAGTTTCTGTGGTGCTAAATACACAAATTATTCACATAATAGTATAGCTGGAAAACTCTATTTAAATAAATACTTTTGTGGAGAATAATGTCGACAGAAACAAAACCAATTATACGATACAGATGTGGTGGATATATAATACCTTATAAACACAGTAAGAATGTACAGTCAAGGAAAGAAATTTGTACATAAGTTTCAATGTCACAGTTAGTCCGAAACATTTACCTCTATCTGGTAGATATTTTGACAGTTATCGGCTGGAGACAACTTTCAAAATAGTTATTTCGGTCTATGTCACAGTTAACCGTGAACGTTGTTCTAGTTCATGCAACTCGAAGGTTTCTGTAAAATCTGTATTTATTTGCATCTCCTCAAGAGTTTTCAGAAAATGGTTTGTAGTTAAATCTTCGATCAATATCATATAAAATAATATCTGGAACAACAATTCTTCATTGTCAGGAAAAATGTCCAAAGTGCCCGAGAATATCAGCTTCCATCAATCAACGTTTAATGACATCCGATGTGAAATGACAGATACCCAGTGTACTATTCAGATGACAACATGGTGGATTACAATATTCAATCATCTCAATTAATATTAGATATCCTAATTAGGCTGATATTTATAATCCCTTGATTAAATCAATCATGTATTCCTGTTTTCGGTCATTTCCACTCTTTGGGGGCTACTCTAAAAACAAACTAATAAACAGATTTTGAATA